ATGTTTTGAAAATGAATGAGGTTTAGATAATATTACAACTGAAGGCAATATTGATGAATTCTAAAATCTTTGATATCTTTTGTGAAAATTCAAATGTCTCGAAATTGGATCAGGTTTAGATAATATTAGAACTTAACTTATCATTCATCAATTCTAAAACCTTTGAGATCTTTTGTCAAAATTCAAATGTTTTCGAATTGAATCAGGTTTAGATAATATTAGAACTACACTCAGCATTGATCCATTCTAAAATCTTTGATATGTTTTGTCAAAATTCAAATGTTTTGAAATTGAATCAGGTTTAGATAATATTAGAACTACACTCATGATTGATCAATTCTAAAATCTTTCATATGTTTTATCAAAATTCAAATGTTTTCAAATTCAATCAGGTTTAGATAATATTAGAACTACACTCAGCATTGATCCATTCTAAAATCTTTGATATCTTTTGTGAAAATTCAAATGTCTCGAAATTGGATCAGGTTTAGATAATATTAGAACTACACTCATTATTGATCAATTCTAAAATCTTTCATATGTTTTATCAAAATTCAAATGTTTTCAAATTGAATCAGGTTTAGATAATATTAGAACTACACTCAGGATTGATCCATTCTAAAATCTTTGATATGTTTTGTCAAAATTCAAATGTTTTGAAATTGAATCAGGTTTAGATAATATTAGAACTCAACTCACCATTGATCAATTCTAAAACCTTCCCTATGATTTGCCCAAATACAAATGTTTTGAAATTGAACCAGGCTTAGATAATATTAGAACTCAACTCACAATTGATCAATTCTGAAATCTTTGATATGTTTTGTCAAAACTCAAATGCTTCGAAATTCAGTCAGGTTTAGATAATATGAGAACTCAACTCACCATTGATCGATTCTAAAATCTTTCATATGTTTTATCAAAATTCAAATGTTTTGAAATTGAATCAGGTTTAGATAATATTAGAAATCAACCAAACATTAATCAGTTCTAAAATCTTTGATATCTTTTGTGAAAATTCAAATGTTTCGAAATTGGATCAGGTTTAGATAATATTAGAACTCAACTAAAAATTCATCAATTCTGAAATCTTTGATATGTTTTGTCAAAACTCAAATTTTTTGATATTGAATCAGTTTCACAAAATCTTAGAACTAAACTCAGCATTGATCAATTCTAAAATCCTTTATACCTTTTCTCAAAATTCAAATGTCTTCATATTGAATCTGGTTTAGATAATAATAAAACTCAACTGAGGATTGATCAATTCTAAAATCTTTGATATCTTTTGTCAAAACTCAAATGTTTCGAAATTCAGTCAGATTTAGATAATATTAAAACTCAACTGAGAATTGATCCATTCTAAAATCTTTGATATCTTTTGTCAAAATTCAAATGTCTCGAAATTGGATCAGCTTTAGATAATATTAGAACTCAACTAAAAATTCATCAATTCTGAAATCTTTGATATCTTTTGTCAAAATTCAAATGTTTTAAAATTGAATCAGGTTTAGATAATCTTAGAGCTCAACTGATAATTGATCAATTCTAAAATCTTTGATATCTTTTCTCAAATTCAAATGTTTTGAGACTGAATCAGGTTTAGATACGTGTAATATTAGAACGCAACTCATAATTGATCAATTCTAAAGTCTTTCATATCTTTTGCCAAAATTGAAATGTTGAGAAATTGAATCAGATTTAGATAGTATTTGTAATCAACTGACTATTGATCAATTCCAAAATCCTTTATATCTTTTGTCAAAATTCAAATGTTTTGAAATTAAATTAGGTTGAGATAGTAGTAGAACTCAGCTCATCATTGATCAATTGTAAAATCCTTTATATTTTTGTCTAAACTGAAATGTTTTGAAAGTGAATCAGGTTTAGATAACATTAGAACTCAACTAAACATTCATCAATTTTAAAATCTTTGATATCCTTTGTCCAAACTCAAATGTTTTGAAACTCAATCAGGTTTAGATAATCGGAGAACTCAACTAATGATAGATGAATTCTAAAATCTTTTATATGTTTTATCAAAATTCAAATGTTTTGAAATTGAATCAGGTTTAGATAATATTAGAACTACACTCAGCATTGATCCATTCTAAAATCTTTGATATGTTTTGTCAAAATTCAAATGTTTTGAAATTGAATCACGTTTAGATAATATTAGAACTCAACTCATCATTGGTGAATTCTAAAATCTTTCATATCTGTTGTCAAAATTCAAGTGTTGAGAAATTGAATCAGATTTAGATAATATTAGTAATCAACTGACAATTGATCAATTCCAAAATCGTTGATATCTTTTGTCAAAATACAAATGTTTTGAAATTGAATCAGGTTTAGATAATGTTAAAACTTAACTTATCATTGATCAATTCTAAAATCTTTGATATTTTTTGTCAAAATTAAAATGTTTTGAGACTGAATCAACTTCAGATAATATTAGAACTCAACTGACGATTGATCAATTCTGAAATCTTTGGTATCTTTTCTCAAAACTCAAATGTTTGGAAATTCAGTCAGTTTTAGATAATATTAGAACTCGACTCAGCATTGATCAATTCTAAAATGTTTGATATCTGTTATCAAAATTCAAATGTTTTGAAAATGAATGAGGTTTAGATAATATTACAACTGAAGGCATAATTGATGAATTCTAAAATCTTTGTTGTGTTTTGTTAAAATTCAAATGTTTTAAAATTGAATCAGGTTTAGATAATATTACAACTCAAGTCATAATTGAGGAATTCGAAAATCTTTGATGTCTTTTGCGAAAATTGAAATGTTTTGAAATTGAATGGGGTTTACATAATATTAGAACTTAACTTATAATTGTTCAATTCTAAAATCTTTTATATCTTTTGTCAAAGTTCAAATGTTTTCAAAATTGAATCAGGTTTAGATTATAGTAGAACTTGGCTCATCATTGATGAATTCTAAAATCTTTGATATTTTTTGTCAAAATTGAAATAATTTGAAATTGAATTAGGTTTAGATAATATGAGAACTCAACTCATTACTGATCAATTGTAAAATCCTTTATATATTTTGTCAAAATCAAGTGTTTTGAAATTGAATGAGGTTTAGATAATATTAGAACTCAACTTATCATTGATCAATTCTGAAATCTTTGATATGTTTGGTCAAAATTCAAATGTTTTGAAACTGAATCAGGTTTAGATAATAGTAGAACTCAAGTCACCATTGATCAATTCTAATATCCTTTATATCTTTTGTCAAAATTCAAAGGTTTTGAAATTGAATGAGGTTTAGATAATAGTAGAACTCAACTCATAATTCATTAATTCAAAAATCTTTCATATGTTTTGTGAAGATTGGCATCTTTTCAAATTCAATCAGGTTTCGATAATATTGGAACTGAATTCATTATTGATCAATTCTAAAATCTTTCATATGTTTTGTCAAAATTGAAATGTTTTGAAATGGAATCAGGTTTAGATGGTATTAGGACTCAACTCACGATTGATCAATTCTAAAATCTTTTATGTGTTTTGTGAAAATTGAGATGTTCTGAAATTGTATCCGGTGTAGATGACATTAGAACTCAACTCACCATTGATCAGTGCTAAAATCTTTGATATGTTTTGTCGAAAATCAAGTGTTTGGAAATTGAATGAGGTTTAGATAATATTAGAACTCAACTCATCATTGATCAATTGTAAAATCCTTTATATATTTTGTCAAAATGAAATGTTTTGAAATTGAATCAGATTTAGATCATATTAGAACTACACTCAGCATTGATGAATTGTAAAATCATTGAGATCTTTTGTCAAAAGTGAAATGTTTTAAGGCTGAATCAGGTTTAAATAATATTAGAAGTCAACTCAACATTGATCCATTGTAAAATGTTTGATATGTTTTGTCAAAATTCAAATGTTTTTGGAATTGAATGAGGTTTAGATCATATTAGAACTCACCTGACGATTGATCAATTGTGAAGTCTCTGGTTTGTTTTGTCAAAATTCAAATGTTTTGGAATTGAATCAGGTTTAGATAATATTAGAACTGAACTGACTATTGATCAATTGTAA